GGATATGTACAAAGAGGCTTATGACAGTAAGTTTTTTCTGTCATTAGCAAATGTTTGATTACTTAGATCCACTCTATATAATTTCTACTATCTAATGCTTGTTGACCTTTATATGCCTTAGGTGTAGTTATCCTGATATTATTTCTAGGAAGTTAATTATTAGACTTAAGTTTGCATGACTCATATTAAGATGAGAGTGAAATTGCCTAGTAATTCCTTGTTTCAGCATAGAAGAAAGTTCCTCGTAGTCATTACCTTTGAAGTGACATCAATGTAAGTAACAAATTCATTTAGATATAGGAGGTAAAAAAATGTTGCGTCAATGAAAATTCATTTAGATATAGGAGGTAAAAAAATGTTGCGTCAATGAAGTAATAAACTTCGAAATATTTTTTGTTATATTCCTATTATTAGTTATAGATCAACACTTTCCTTTTTAAGTTTTAAGAGGTTCTAATGGATGATGTGTTGGAAGTGTGGACATACTTATTGCCAGCTTGCCTGTTACATTGCATTACATATTCTACTTGTGCTATAAGCTTTATTCCAACTTTTGGAAGCTTTTGAATTTTCTAATCATCTACCAAATTTAGACATCTTTTGGCATTGATGCTGCAGGAGCAACGTGTTTATATCTTCTAATTAAAAACAACGTGTTTATATTTATTACGAGATATATATATATATATATATATAAATATATATAAAATTATATATATATATATATATATATAAAATCCTGAAGCAAAAAATAACTTCAAGATGCTTTCTACGTTTAGCATTTCTATTTATCTTTTTTTACAGAATTTCGAATTTTTTTAAAATTTTATTTTATTTATTACGTTTTGATTGGACCTTAAAATTCCTAATTATCAATAGAAAAATAAGTAATTATATAATTATGTAGTTTTGAAATTTTTTAATTTTTTCTCTTATCTGTCTCCGTATCTATTTAATTTAATATGTTTAATCTATCTATATATAATCTCATCACATTAAGAAATACCTAACATTCTGAAAAGTGGCATCATCTACGGCAAGAACATCCTCTGCAACGGAACAATTTTCAGTTTTCAAGCGCAATCTGAAATTATTAGGTATTACTGTTTCTATGATACTATAAAAATCTCTGTTTCTTCTTTGTGTGAACTAACAGTATCAAAAAATCTCTGCAATGATACTACTCTTCGCAGTTGGTAAAGCTCGCCCATTTTCTTTCAGTTTTCAGATGCAATATGCAATTATCAGTTACAAATTGTTGTTTCTACGATCTATGATCGCTCCTGTTTTTTTTTTTTTTTTTTTTTTTTGTTTTTCTTTTCATATTAAATTAATTCTAGAAGGAATCCTGCGCTTTCTATTCCATATATTTATACCTAGAAGGAATCCTGCGCTTTCTATTCCATATATTTATTTACATATTTATATTAAACTTGCACAATAATAACATGGCACCCTCTCCTAAAGCATTCTTTGTTTCGTTTTTTCTATAATTCTTTTATAATTTTTAATAACTTTTTAATCATTTATTTTTTCTACAGAAATTTAGATAATTATTGACAGATAATTATTATTTAAAAAAATTATTTCAATTGCACAAAACCTATCTCTTCAACTCTCTCTTTATTCTATATCTATATTAATACTTTCAAATATTACATTTGATATGGATTCTCAATAAGAATGTTACATTTTCTTGGAATAGGATAGTGTTGATTTTAAAATTTTGTTGCATTTTACTTCTCCAGTTACTTCGTTCACAATGAAGTCTTTCTATGCTAACAAATATACTGGGTTCTTTAACCATTTCATATATAGGCATTTAAACATTATTGACTATTTCATTATTTATTGGTGTTCCCTCAATATTTTTTTATGGAGTAAGAATGACATTCCTGAGGTGACGCTAGCAATTAACTCAGAATAGATATCTCAAGAAAAATGTATTGTTACGAATTGAAATCTTACACTTTCCAGTACTTTGATTATTATCACATTTTGTCACTGCTAATACTTTCAGATCTAATTGTTAATTGCTGCAATTCAAATGACTAATCTTGATTTTAGATTCACTTCCTGAGCAAGAACGTTTTGAGGTGCCTCTTTCTCTCAAATTTACCACTCAAATAAGTCATTGTTATTTTGTTTCAAATTCTTTTTCATATTAATCTTTTTTGAACATTTTAATCTCTTATGTCAGCTCGGTTACATGTATTTTCTTTCGTCCCTCTTGCAAGTAAGTTTTTTGTGGCTTGCATTGGCTAATTTCATTTGTTGACTACAAGGTTTTCTATCAATATATGATCTTTTTTCAAACGGATTTTTGCAATATTTTATAATATATGATATTTTCTCACACTGTCATTGATAAACTATTATTAGTCTTTTGTGATTTTCTCGGTTAGCCTCTCATAGATTAACCACTCGTCTATCACGTGCTTCGGTATAGATTAACTTCTAGCCTTCAACAATTAAGTGAGCACAACATAAGTTTTGTTCATACTATTTGGTTTGTGATGCAAACTCTTTTGTTTTATGTGTCTTTTTAATTACTTAAAAGTATGGAAGAGTATATATATATCTATAACTTAGATCTACTATCTGGATACTTAAATAAGACTTCATTTTAGTATATATCCTAAGCAGTTTTGACTTAGCCTACTGAACCCATTCCTATTGAACCCATGAGTAAGACCCATGTGAGAGGCATCGAAAGGGTATAACCAGGAGGGTATAACCAGGTAGTCATTAAAGCTTTTGGTATATAATAAAATGGATCCTTTGTTGTGTAGATCGGTTAGTAGTAATAAATCTGAAGACTCAGATAACTCAGAAATTAAAAGAGTAATAAATAGAAACAACAAAAGATAAAAGGATCGATTATCGATTTAATAATAACAAGTTCTTATTTAAAACTTAAGAAACAAATTTATAAAGTTTTCTAAAATTAATTTATTTAAAACAGATTATGTAATTTAAAACCGAAGAAAGAGATTTTCAATTAAGTAAACCTGTTTGGAAAGAATAACTCTTTATCTTCTAAAACTTATATTACTACTAGCCGATCTACATAAGAAAGGATCCATTTTATAATATACGATAAAATTTTTTGACTACCTGGTTATACCCTTCCTGGTTATAACCGCTAGATGCCACTCACATGGGACTTATTCATGGGTTCAGTAGGCGTGGGTTCAGTAGGCAAAGCCAAAACCTTTTATTATATATCATAAAATGAAGACTTTTTATGTATCTCTACCACGTCGCACTAAATCTAATGGCTCTGATACCAACAAAAACTTGCTTTATTTTTTCAACAAAGACTTGCTTTAATTTGTCATAAACAAAACCAACAAAACCAATAAAAACATAACCAATAAAAAGATGACTATGACTACTGAAGAGTTGTAGCATAGGTTAATGCAGGTGTTTAGTAATTCCTAACTAGGTTAACTAAGGGACAATTAAAGACTAGTTCCTATGAACTAGTCTTTTGTTGGTTTTAGTAATTCCTAAAACCATCCAATGGAAGGATATAACACTTCCAGATGAATGGATTTTAGAGGGGGTTGTACCTCCTCCAGTTATTGATAAAGTAACCAAACGTCAATTTGCCCAAAAAGAATTGAACCAATTTTGAAAGTGGGTAAAGTTATAATCTTTTAAATTTAATCGCCAGTCAACAGTATGAGGTATACAGGTCATCTTCCTTGTAGACTTACAGATTGAAAATGATAAACCTACTCATCCATAGAAACCTTCTGTTATTTATGCGAAATATAAAGAGACTGAAGGCCTAAACCAATAATTTCAAAGACATTAGTTAAAAAACCAAGTTTTCTACTTCTGATAGTTCCAAATTTAAAAAATGAAAGGTGATATAGTAATTCTATACCACACAGTTATAATCCTGTAGAAATTATGTTAAATCAACAAATCAAATTTAGTAAAATAGCACCTCCAGGAATCACCAAAAACAGCGCTTCAGCCATAAACTGAAAATGTTAGTGAAATTCAACAGGGAATTAAATGTACCTTGAAAAAAACGATTATAGAAAAACAAGTTTAATAAAAGAAGCTATCTGAAAATTAAAAAATTTACTTAAAATGAAACAGATATTAAAAACAATATACTTTTTTGAAGAATTAAAATATGAATATTGTAGATTATAAATTAAATACTCAAAACTGAAATTAACTTCTTTTGATGGTATAAATTATTAAAGAACATTCTTTCTAATAAAAAAAGTTTTAAATCCAATTTACGTGTAAAGAGATAAAAGACCAGAAATCGATAGTAAATGGATTCAAACAATTAAAAGTGATTTTCCACCCTTAAAACACTTAGTAAATTAAAACATCAAATCATGAAATTGTCTGCTCGCATTTTAAAAATTATAAGGGAAAATGATACAAATAATAATAATTGAACAAAATATATTTTTAGTAATGCCAGTTTTAATTGTTTAAATACAACAATTTAAAACGAATTAGAAAATTTCATTAGAAGATAACCAATTTGTAAAAATGAGACTGTAAAAGGTAAAAAAAGGTAAAAACATATGTTTAAACCTTATCAAAACTTTCTCAATCTTAGAAAAATGAATTGTAAATACACTAAAAAATCAATTAAGTAAATCCGAAGTTCCGTTCTGAACCACCCACCAACATGTAACCCCAGAAACTCCCCCTTCCATCAGGGATCAAGAAAATATAACATGATAGAAGAAAAACAGCAAACTTTCTGCATGTTAGTGAACCTGACGTCAGAAAATATTAAACAATTGTGAAATCAATCTATAAAACATCATTAGAGAACTTAGTAAAATTCGCACCAGACCTAGGTATAATTGAAAAACCTAATACGTAATCTCAGATTTAAATATTAATGCCGTCAACGTATTTATGAATGGAACAAGATGGTTTAATGTTGTGAATTATAATATATTAAGTATTTTGCAACCAGAATGACCAGATGGCTGCAAATGCAACAAATGACTATGGCTGCAAATGCTTATAAAACCCAGTCAATCATTTCTGATAAAGCTATAGCAGAAATTTTAATTGCTGGGTTTACAGGTCAACTTAAAGGTTGGTGGGATTATCACCTAACTAACCAACAACATTTAGAAATACTAAACTCAATCCAAGTAAATGATGAAGGTGAACCTATATATGATGAAAATGGTGAAGTAATCCAGGATGCAGTGTCATCTTTAATTCTTACTATTTCATTACATTTTATAGGCGATCCGTCTCACTTAAAAGATAAAAATGCAGAATTATTAAGTAATCTTAAATGTAGAAATTTAGGTGATTTTCAATATTATAAAACGACTTTTCTCACTCGATTAATGTTAAGGAAAGACTCTAATCAAAGCTTTTGGAAAGAAAGCTTTTGGAAAGAAAAGTTTTTTGGCTGGACTGACTTATTGTTTGTAGGTGGAAAAAGTTAGAAACCATATAAAGCAACAATTTGGGCAACCTATTTCCTGTATAATAAAAATTAACATATGGACAGTTAATTTAGTATAATCCAAAAGGTAAAGGTGTTAACAAATTTGGTCAAAGAACTTAAAACTTCGAAAGAAATTAAAATATGAAATGCAAAAACTAAAAAAGAATTAGGGATCAATTTTTGTAAGCAATTTGATTATAGATTTCATATCAAAACCAAACGATGTGATGGTCAAATGTTCTACCAAAACAACTAAAAGCCTAAAAAGATATTATAGAAATAAAATACTGTCCAAAAAACCAATACTAGGTCCTACATGAGGTCCAGAATAAATTCCTATAGTAAAAGAGAACGAAAGACCTTTCCTTATAAACAACAAAGATAAACGACCTTCTAAAATCTACAACTAAAACTTCTTATAAAATATTGGACTTGTTAGCAGATTGTGGGAAAAAAAGGGCATACATCCTAAATTTTGGTAAATTTAAATATAAAGATGTACATGAAGTTAAAATTGAGATGATGTTTTAAATAAAATTTATGAATTAAATATTATGAAAGTTCTGATTCTTCGGAATCTGAGATTGGATGAAAGTGAAAATCAAAATTGATGAATTAAGGAACTACCGACAAGTTTTTTCCAGTTGCATAGACAAATCCATAAATAGTGCTTAGTAAAAGAGTCAAGTACATTATTCAAGTAGTAAAACAATAGAGGACCAAGAAACTAAAGCCAACTTGCTTAAAAAATTAATTCAAAGCTTTGAATAAAAGAAAAAGAAAGTAACCATATATCACTCCGTAAATTCACCTAAATGACTTATGATTTTAAACCATACTTTTAAAAATAAAAAGTAAAAGTAAAAAGAGAAATTGACATGTATCTACGTAAAAGAGTTACGCAATGAAATTAAAACTTTAAAAAATGAAGTTCATGGGAATTAAAAAGCTTCAAATTTCAAACACACATTCTAAAAAAAATAAAATTATTAGAGTTGCAATTAATCTCTAGTTCTTGCTTGATGACGGAAGCCAGAAACTGATATAAAAGATTGAAATAATGAATTAGATGAAAGAATGTAGATGGTAATTTTGCTAGATTTATTACAAGAAATTACTTACCGTAATATTTAGTAAAAATAACATTCAAAATAAATGATTTTGTGATAAATGCAATTTGCGACTTTTTGACACAGGTGCAGATTTAAAACTGTAATAAAATCTGATATAGTTCCTAAAAGATATTGGTTAAAAGACTAGTGAAAGATTAAGTACAAACGCCAATAATCTAAAACTTGAAAATTAATAGGGAAAGGAACAGAATGCCAATAATCATAAAATCAAGAATTAGAAAAATAAGACAGAACAGATCGTATTTTTATTTATCTCCTGCAAATAAATATATGGTAATTTTAGGTACTTTCTTTATCCTTTTATAAATGACGAGCGTTTTTTCGGCAGTATGATACGAAATCGCAACAAGTAATATAGAGTAAGAGAGTATCGTAATCCACAGGGATTGTTTTATCAAGTACCAAAAAATTAGTGTAACCTATTATTAGTTTAGAACGACGATAAGAAGCAGATTCATCTGTAAGGTAAATAGAAATCTTAAAGTAAAATAGAAGAGATCAAACATAAAATTTAAGTGAAAAGAAATCGAGGGGATTTAAGCTTAGCTAGGGAATTTGATTTCACTTAATTTCGTATCCATTCTTTTATTCTATTTAGTTCCATTAATCCAATTTTAATTGGTTCAAGGAGGAGAACAACCCTAAAGTCCACTTACAAGCTCTTCGCCGATTTATTGTTAGTGTATTCTAATTCAGTTCAATTACCTATCTGTTTAATAGTGAAAATTAAACATACAATCAGATTATTAAAGCGTTTTAAGGTTGTTTTGTGAGTTCAACAACTTAATAAATTATAATTAGATTATGAAGAAACCTGCCTTGAGTAAACCAATATAGCTTGCCGCAGTCAAGTTGTTATCTCAAGTAAATTGATTATCTTTTTCAATAATTCAATGAACCTTCCGTCTCCCGAATGTAGTTATTGAAATACCTGCAATCCAGGGGAAAATTTCTCTCCTGGAAGCATTCGCACAGATAATAATTTATAAACGAGAACAAAGAAAAACAAATCTGAATATCGATAAATTGGAAAAATCAAAAATTAAGCTAACATCAAAATCCCTAGTATAAGAGGTTTTAAGCTGGTATAGTAATGTAAATTAAAGCTCATCATGCTTCGGGCCAAGTTCATCATATTGTAAAGACAAAATAATAAAAAGAGAAGAAAACAAGATGAAGAGTTTTAGAATAAAAACTGGTATCACAACTATGTTGATTGGTTCCTTGAAATCTTGGCAACAATTGTTTGATGCTTGAAATCCGTTTAAGAGGAGAGGAAACGAATATGTAAAGAAATTGCCTAAAAAACAACGAGATATATAGTGTTTTGGCTAGTGAGAAGTGTCCTTTCTTTATATAGAGTTCCTGAAGGCATAGTGCTGCATTCCTTTTAGGAAATAGAATCCTTTATTAATGAAAATCCTTTAATAGGAGATCATGACTGTTTAGACTTGTTGGAAAGTTTTCTTCTTGATTTAAGACGTCCTTTTTCTCCTAGAATAGGTTTTCCGAGGTCTTGTTTAGTGTTGTTTTAGGAAACTCCCCTGAAGTCCGGCCCAATGTGAGAAAAGGCTTGATTTGCAGTATTAAATTTACGCTGGTTTTCCGCCTGTGGCAGACGGGCGGTGGCTTCGTGGCAACGGGCTGGTGTGCTTTTAGTCTGGAAGTCTGGCTAGTGAAGCACGGGGCGTGCAGGGCAGCACGGGCTAGCGAAGCATTGAGGCACGGGCGTGCCCAGCTTAGCACGGAAGGGCGTGCTTTTCTCTGGAAGTCCCTGCCTAAGAGGTTGTCACGGTGGGGCGTGCTATGCTTGACACGCACCTGGTTCCCGCATATATAGCACGGTCGTGCCTTTTGGCACACGCCTGGCGCGTGGCTTTCTTCTGTCTCTTCTTTGGTTCTCGGCTTTGGCTTCCTAGCACGGTTGGTGGCTTTTTTAACAACGGCCTGGGGCGTGCTAAAGGCTAGTGCCTTGTATTATAGAAGTTCTTTTTCTCTGTGCAAAATGTTCTGCAATTTTCCTTTAGATCAAGCGGATTAAAGATCAAGGAAGCTTTTGAAATATATTCATACTAAAAAGTGATTTAAAATCAAAATTAAGCAATAAACTTACTAGAATTCGACCAAAATCAAAAACTATATTAAAAAAAGCACTATAGAATTAAACATCTATCAAAATTCCCCAGAACTTAAAACCATGTGCTTGTTCCTCAGCAACAAAACAAAAGAAAATTAATTTGACGACAACTTGGCTTAACCATGGCTGGAGCTGAGTCTCAATAAACTTTTGCATGATATCATGATTAGTAAATAAGTGGATAAACTCAATTGGTTCTGCCATGCTATTGTTCCAATACTGTAAGCTTGATTTTTTATTTTTTTGAAATAAAGCACGAATTCATTGGAGTAAATGATAAGTTTAGAAGAGATTATCAACACTAATCTGTATTCAAATTATGATAAAGCAGGCCATGAGTTATTAAAGCATTTAAAAAAAATAAGATAATTGAATAAAGAGTGGGCATTCCCATAATGCAGAATTAGTACATCGCTTTCCTCCCGATTTAAATGCATACGATTAAAAAGATCAGAAGGTCTTTATTTTGGGTTTGTAATGGGGCTTTCTTGGGTGTAAATTTTGCTTAAATCAAAGAAAGGGGATTGAAAAATGTGGTCAAAAGAGTACAAAAAGAATGGTAAATAACGATTCTAAGGATTCTATGTTTATTAATACTTTTTCCTAGTTCCTAGGGAGTGTTTGTTTTTGAAATTTTCTTACTAGCTAGAGGCAATTTTGGACAGAGGTCTCTTAATATTTTTGCAAACTTTTCTTCGCTTGGCCTTTGTTATTTTTTCTTAATTCTTTTGATTGCTTTTCATGTGCCTCTTTCTTGATTCTTTCTTCTTTTCTTTATTTTGCTAGGTTTTATTGATGAATTCTCCCTCTTGTTGTTGCTACATGTCTAAATTAAACAATCGAATCTTTCAATCATAACAATCCTTTGCACTTAGGGTAGGAAATTTTGAATTGGCTTTTAATGGCTTGGTTTATTGAGGTGTGGAAGAAAGAAATTTTACGGTTTTAAGGCTTCAAGTTGGTTTCAAGAAGTCATATTTTTTAATTTAGGGTGGTCTAGGCCTTAACTATAGGTTTCAAGCAAAAAAACTTGCCTAAATCATCTCTTTCAAAAAGTAAACATTTAAATTTCACGCTCGAGGGATTCTAAGTTTGTTTTCTAGGAATCCAAGATTTAATAACTTAGAGTAAAAAGCAGCACTTATAATCATCAATCCCTCATAAAATCAGTGTTTAAAAAATCTAGAAACAAATTAGTTTAGATCAATGAACATGTTTAAAATCAAACTTTCGAAATTCAAAACTTTAAAATATGCTAGATTTGAGAAAACAATTATGTTTAAATACTTATTAGCTAGTAGACACAAGAACGCGTGCAAGCTTGTGCTTGTAGTCATTCCAACGATGTTGTAAAAAAAAAAAA